TATAGGCAAAACATTATCTCACATACATCTCAAAAATGTTTTCCTAGGGCAGTCTACCCAAGCAATAGAAATAAAAGCAAGAATAAACAAACGGGACCTAATTAAAGTTACAAGCTTCTGCACAGCAAAGGAAACCATAAGTAAAACAAAACAACAACCTACGAAATGGGAGAAAATTTTTGCAAATGATGAAACTGACAAAGGCTTCATCTCCAGAATACATAAGCAGCTCATACAACATAATAAGAAAAAAACAACCCAATCCAAAAATGGGCAGGAGACCTAAACAAGCAATTCTCCAAGGAAGAAATACAAATGATCAATAGACACATGAAAAAATGCTCAGTATCACTAATTACCAGAGAACTGCAAATCAAAACTACAATGAGGTATCACCTCACACCAGTCAGAATAGCCATCATTCAAAAGTCCACAAAAAACGAATGCTGGAGAGGCTGTGGAGAAAAGGGAACCCTCCTACACTGCTGGTGGGAATGCAATTTGGTGCAGTCATTGTGGAAAACAGTATGGAGATTCCTCAAAAGACTAGGAATAGACTTTCCATATGACCCAGTAATCCCACTCCTGGGCATATATCCAGAAGGAACCCTACTTCAAAAGGACAACTGCACCCCAATGTTCATAGCAGCACTATTTACAATAGCCAAGACATGGAAAGAGCCTAAATGTCCATTAACGGATGACTGGATAAAGAAGCTGTGGTATATTTATACAATGGAATACTATTCGGCCATAAAAACTGACAACATAATGCCATTTGCAGCAACATGGGTGTCCCTGGAGAATGTCATTCTAAGTGAAGTAGGCCAGAAAGAGAAAGAAAAATACCATATGAAATCGCTCATATGTGGAATCTAAAAAAACAAAAACAAAAAACAAAAAAAAACATAAATGCAAAACAGAAACAGACTGGACATGAAATATGGACCTGTGGTTGCCACGGGGGTGGGGAGTGGGAAGGGACAGGCTGGGATTTTGAAATTTGTGCATGCTGACAGGCATGTGCAGAATAGATAAATGAGATTATGCTGTATAGCACAGGGAAATATATATGGGATCTTGTGGTGGCTCACAGCGAAGGAGAATGTGACAATGAATATATGCATGTTCATGTATAACTGAAAAATTGTGCTCTACACTGGAATTTGACACAACATTGTAAAATGACCGTAACAATAAAAAAAAGTTAAAAAAAATAAAAGAGACATACATTAAATATGATAACAATGGCTGAAAGTGAAAGGATGGACAATAGATACCAAAAAATTTGATAAAATGCAACATTAATTTTGACTTATAAATAAAAGATATCAACTATATCTACAAAGATGTTATAGAAACATCATATTTAATGGTGAAATGTTGAAGGCTTTTCTCTCTGGGTTTGGGAATGAGATCAGTACACCTGCTAATATCCTATTCCACATTGTATTGAAGATCCTAGCCAGAGTGAGACAAAGAAGTAAAAACAGAATAATTGGAAAGGAGGTAACACAATTATCATTACTCAGAGAATAGTGTGATTTTTGTATGTGGAAAATAAAAAAAGTATAGTTCAAGTATTAGAATACATAAAATTAAGTGTTGCCAGGTATAGGAGAAATACACAAAAAACAATTGTATTTCTACGCAAAATCAAGAAATAATTAGAAATTTAAATTAAAAATGATGCTATTTATAAACATATAAAATCAGGCAATTCCTAGGAATAAATCTAATGAAAGATATGTACTCAGAAAGTTATAAATATTGAAGTTAATTAAAGAAGATTTAGATAAATGGAAGTTATGCCTTTTTCATGGCTTGAAAGTGTCAATAGTGTTAAGATGTCAAATCTCCCCAAATTCATTTTCACATGCAATAAAATTTTACTCAGAATCTATGACGTTTTTAAAAATAAAGATTAATAAGGTGATGTCTAAAATTTATATGAATATGTGAAGGGCCAGGATTAGCCAGGACAATCTTGAGTAAGACAAAGTTGTGGACATACCAGATGTCAAAGTATATTATGAATGAAGACAGCATGTCATTGGTGCAAGCCTAAACAAATAGATAAATAATAGATAAGAATAAAAACTCAGACCTATATTGTTATGCATATTTGACTTATGAAAAAGATTTTGGTGCAAGTCATCAGGGAAAGGGATAGTCTTTTGAATAAATGGTACTGTGTTAACTGAATTCACATGTGGAAAAATGAATTTGTTCCTAGGTGGATTTTGTATGTAAAAGACAAAAGAAGGACAACATAGGAGAATATCTTCAAGAACTTGGGGTAGAGAAATAATTCTTAATTTGAGCTTAAAAACTATTAATCATAAAGAAAAAGATCGATAAATTGGACTACACTAAAAATAGTTATGCCTGTTCATTCAAAGAGTTTATTAAAGGAGAAAAGGAAGAGCCACTGAGTGGGAGGACATATGCAAAACTTTAACCAGTAAAGGGCTCTATCCTGAATATAAAAATAACTCCTATGAGTGATACAGAAATACAGACAACTCAATAGAAAAATGGATAGACAGCAGAGGAGCTTTACAAAAAAAGGTTATCTAAATGACTTATAAACACAAAAAGTTCTCAACTGTATAAATCATCCGGGAAATACAAGTTAAAATTACAACGTGAGATCATAGTACCCCTACAAAAATGACCAAAAAAACCAACCCAAAATGGAAATATAACCTTTCTAGTAGCAAATATTGGTGAGGATATGAAGAAACTGTATCTTTCATATACTGCTAGAAGGGGCATAAACTGGCAGAAGTACTTTCAAAAATTGATTGAATAAATAAACCTAGTTGCCTCCCCATCCCACAAGCAAACAAACAAACAAACAGACAAAAAATTGTTTGACAGTACCTAAGACCAGAAATTCACTGCTAAGAATATTTTCAATAGAAATATATACACATTTGTAACCAAAAATCACATGCAAAAATGTATTCATAGGTCCATTATTTATAATACCTCCCTAAATGGAAACAACGCCAATATCTATCAATAAAAATGAATAAATAAATCGATATTTTCATATAATAGTCAAAGGTGAGAGTGAAGGATAGCCTTGACCAAGTGGTCATGGGAGACGGGGACAGGTGGATTGGCATGTCTTATGGGCAGAGTTGACTGGACTTGGTGGTGAATCTGTGTGATGTAAAGGAAAGACTGGAATCATGCATGACTTCTAGATTCTGACTTGAGCAAAGAGTTACTTTTCACTACTTCTGTTACCCCATCATCTCCTATTCTTACCTCCCTATTCTGTTTTCCACACCGTAGCCCAGAGTGATCTTTTAAAAACATGTATTAAATTATCTTACTCCTCCTGCTTAAAACTCTCCAGCGACTTCTCAGGTACTTAAAATAATGCACAAAGTCTACTATGCCCCTTTTAACATGGTATACCCTGTCTAGCTCTCTGACACCACCATATTTCCACTGTTCCTCTTGTTAAGCATGCTCACTGCACTCTAGCTTCTTTCATTCTCTGAAACAAGTTTACTCTTGCTTTAGAATCTTGTTCTTTGCCTTGACTGTTTCTCTTGTCATTAAGATCTCCACTCAAAAGACAATTCCTCAGAGAGGTCTTTCCTGGCGATCCAATATACATGATTCTCCTCCCATTATTTTACTTCATGACTCATTTTCTTCATTGTAATTATTTGAATTATGTGTAATTCTTATTCATTCATTTTTAACTGAATGTCTCCCAACTAAATCTCCTACTCCTACTCCTATACTACCACCACCAGCAGCAGCAGCACCACCACCTCTGTTTACTACTAATTGTAAGCTCCTGCGAGTAGGGAATTTATGTCATTCACTGCTGCATACTCAGCCAACAGCAGCACTTGGCAAATAGAAGGTAGTTAATATATATTTGTTTAATGAATGGATGAATAGATAATCCAGCAATATTAAGAGAGCAAATTTATGCCCTCATTTTCCTTCAGTATCAAAATAAACTTGTAGTAACATTGTCACTAAAAATAAAAGAACCCCAAACATCCAACTTTTTGCCTCAGAGTACAATACATCCAGATCTCCACCTTGCTTAACAGCAAGTGGCAAGTTTAGATGTATCCCCTCTTACTTACTTCGTTCACCAGAAGAGCAAGTAGAACGTAGCCTGAAGGAGCTTGCTGGGTGCTGAAGCCTGGAATAATGGCCTTTTTATAGCAGGTCCATCCAGGGAGGAGCCATACTCTGTAGGATGGTCTGATTCATTCCTAACCAAACCCAGATCCACCCATATCTCCACCTCTATTTCTCTAGCAATGTGTTTACTTCCAAATCACTCACGTACTCATCTGTACTTGTTTTACCAAGTTTCAAATTTAAGTTTACATCATTCCCATATATTGGGGATTTTATGGAAGATTCCCTTTGGCTAGCATTGGCTCTTTGTGTGCAAGGTCCATACCTTCTGTGTTTTTTTGTTGTTGTAACCCCCACTTTGACTTGGTAGGTGCTTGATAAATATCTATCGGTGAGTTTACATACTTATCCTTGTCTCTAGAGAAGTAGAGTATATATTTTGAGTAACTTAAATTCAATTTATATTTAAGCAAACATCACAAGCACCTACATGCATGTCCCTTTTATCTATGAATTCCATTTCTGAATCCTGAGAGAACTTGCCATGAAAAATATTGAGCTTCTAGAAATTATAATGAATGCAGAGAAGATAGACAAATTTAATTTTAAATTTTTGAAAGAGAGCAAGAAAGTGGGCCCTTGAGTTAGAATCAGTGATCACTAGGAGCTGGCATGAACTATTAGGCAAGAATTATTAGTCTTGATTTCAAGGTTATTGCATTGGGGTAGCAGAGACATATTCTACTTACAATTCCCATGGATTAAACTATGAGTTTTCTCATTGACCCTTGTAAATATACAGGAGACTCTTATCCTTGGCCACTCTCTTGACTCCTAGACTGTATGTCAAACACATTCTGTTTCCATTTGGATGTCCCCTAGTTATCTCAGGTCATACTGTTCAAAACTAAACTCATTATCAACCTCATACCAAAACATACTGTCCTCTGGAAGTCCACATGTTGGTTAATGAGACCTCCATCCACTGAGTGTCCTTACAAAGTCATTTTTTGTTTCTCCCTCTCTTTAGCCCTCATTCTAATGTCATGACATGTCACTCTAACCTAGACTTGTATTCTTAATATGCAGGCCTATTCTCTATTTAGGGCTGCACTTTTCATTCTGGTCCTCACCATCAGTTGGATGTTAGTGAAAAGTGTCATGACTGGCCCCTCCACTATCAGCCTGCCTCATTCATCTTTTACTCTGATCTTACCATTCCTCTGCTGGCTCCTGCTTACCTGTGGAATTCCAGATTTCTTTATTTGACATATAAGCCCCTTCACAATCGGAATGAATCTGTATCTTTTTTAGCTGCTTCTATTGCCACCTGTATTTTATGGGAAAAATCACTCTCGATTGGTCAACATTCCTTGGATGGTCTTTTAATGGTCCACCAACTGTTCAAAATCTCTGCTTGCTGTCTTACTACCTGGAGAGTCCCTCAACCTTAGCTTCTCTTCATCCTTTGGGACCCTCCAGAATCATCACCTCCTTCATGAAGCCTTAGCTTGCATTTCCAGATCGATCACAGTTCCCTCACAGACTCTGTATTGATCTCTCCCGTAGCACTGGTGACCTTTTATTTTAATTAATTGTTTATGTGTCTGCAGCAGCCCCCAACTTCCCAATTTTGTGTTTCTTCTCACCCTGGTATTGACTGGGCCTGAATCATCTTTTGTGTTCTTGGGCCCTTTAACAGTTCCTGAGACATGATCAAATAAGAAGTGCAAGGGTGGGGTGTGGGTGGGGGGGCAGTCTTCCTTAGAGCTGGTGAGATAGAAATGGGCTTGAAATTTTAAAACTTTGTTTAATGCCCTCATTTCTAACCTCTTGAGGCCACCACTTCTTTCTTTTGAGGATGACTAACATCCACAGAACCCAGGTCTGCATTTTCTCCTATTTTCTTCTTGGGTTTAATTGTCTTTTTGTGCCAGGAGTTACTGTTATTGTCTTTCTCTTATCAGACTATCAAATAGTAATAATCTATTGCATGCCCATCAAGTGCCAAGAATGTGTTAAGATTTTGCATGTATTTCTTCCAACCCTCCGAACAACCCCATGAGGTCACTGCTATTATCCGTAATTTTGAGATCAGGGAACTGATAGTGACAAGGTGCCCAAGATTACCCAGTGAGTAAGTTACAGAAGTCGGATTCACCCCAGGTTATCCTGATTCCAACTCCCTCATTATTTCCACTGACAGTGTTGCTCTGGGTGTGAACTTTTCTCCTTTTCTCAGCCTTATGTATATTTTTGGTGTTTTAAACAGTGGTTTCTCTCAAAGTACCCTGTGTCCAGGGTGAGCTTAACTGTGGAAACCATTGCAGGGGCAGCCGATAGACTAGATCATGCAGTGTGAGTTAGCTGAGGAAGGTGGAGTCCAGAGAGTGGCGTGGATGGGCAGTCTTCAATGTTCTGTTTAATGCACAGAAGACACAATTCTTGTACAGTCCTGTCTATATAGAGGTGAGTCCTTGTAGTTTGCTCCAAAACTGTTGTCTTGACCATGTTATGATCATTATATTTTTATCAGTAACTTAGATGAAAATGTGGGCAGATGGCAAATATTTTTAGGATAGACTGAGGATCCAAGGAGATTTTAGCATGTCACACCAGTAAGTCAAATCTAATAAAAATGAATATTATTAAAATGAAAGTAAATTCTGACTTCACCAGGACATTAAACTTCACAAGGACAGGGTAGAAGACCTGAGTAAAAGGAAGGGCATCGTGACCGTGGCGGTGTGATGTAGTAGCTGTAGAGGGAATGCTATTTCAGGTTGCATGAGAAGAAGCACGTTAACTAGAACAAAGTAAGTGGTGGTGTTCTCCGCTGGGCATTTGTCGGATTGTTTCCGTAGCTTTGTATTCAGTTCCGATGACTGCTTCTCAGTAGGGATGTGGACAACTTGTGTGTTTTGAGTCAAGTAAATAGGATGACTGGCTAGATGCGTGGTAAAGGGAACAGGATGAGAAACAAGTAGATGGGAGGTGCATTTCTGTTTTCCACAATATGAGACTCTGTTACTGTACTTGGGTTGTATAGAAACTCAGATAAATGGGTAGGGACTGTAGGGAAGCCTATTTTGACTTTGTATAGGAAGAAAATTTTAATAGTCAGAGTTGTCCAAAAATGAAAAGATTTATCTTTGGAGATAGTGAGCCACCTGTCACTGCCTAGAGAATTTTGAGTTGGATGAGCTCTTGACAATCAAGTAGTCTAGCCCCTGCATCTTGTAGTTGACAAGCAGGAGGTACAATATTGATAAATCAACAATGTAGGACCCAGACCTCTAAATCAGAACTTTTCACTCCAAGTGCATTTTTTATTGCACCAAGTTACATCAATTACTGGGAGATGAGCATGATACAGGGGTATGTTGGAGGGTCAATAAGTAGAGGAACATTGGATGGATGTCTGATAAATCCCTCTTTCCACCTGAAAGCTATGATTCTATGATTCCAATAAGTTTTTTGTCTGACTTAATTCAGCCCAAATAAGCTATCTGATCAGTGCAGTTTAGTAACTGCAGGGATAACAGGACTATTAATTCCACTTTATAGTGGAATTTCCACTATACCCTACATTTATATGGGGTATGTTTCCATACTCCACCTCCTAGCAACACACCTAATCCATCTTACATGTTAGCTTTAGAATCCGAAATAATCCCCCTCCCCCCAAACCTTTAAAATTACTGACCATGGAATAGTGAACTCTGAGATGTGGGGCACCTTCTCTGTCCTCAGAATTTATTTTTTGCCTCATCTTTACAAGACAGTTAAATGGCTTCAGAGGCATTTTAGGTGTCCATAGTTATATTTTGTGGCTACCAGGATTTGTTAAGGGGTGAAGAAAACTCCCCAAATGTCAGGAGTTATTGACAAATCAGAAATTACAGGATTTCAGCCACAATCATACATTTGTGGTTGTCCCTCCCTTTTCCTACCCAATGGGCTGGGAAGGCACTGTGTTGCCATATGGCCTCTGGGCTGCTGAAGTGGGTCAGGTTGTCACGATTCAGGGACCAGCCCTTTGCGATGTGTGACTGAGGCTGTAGGAGTGAAGGGGAGTTGGAATTTGTGGTTAAATGATTCCCACAGGAGCTGTAGTCATCTCCTGGGAGGTGCTGTTTTGGAGGTGGGATTTTTCCAGGCTGAATATTCTCTTGGATTCTTTGGCAAAGTTGTAGCTCATGTGCCTGCTTCGCTGCCTAGTGGGGGAGCAGCGTCCGGCAGGAGCGCCTCTGCTCATAGCTTGTGTTTACTAGGGCAGTGGTGAAGGAAATAACATTGATCCCGAGGAACAATTTCAAGTTGCCTCCAGTGACTTCAGATTCTTCTTACTTTAGTCTCGGGGGTGGGGGGTCGGGGGTTGGAGAGGGAGTGGAGAGAAGAGCTGTTGTGGGGGAATGAGAGTGAGAATGAGTTTTTCTCTATATAATTAAGCTATATTATAGCAATCTGAATTAACTCTCAGTTTTTTACATGCCCAGCATATTAATTCCTATGTACTCACTGTCAGTTTCATGTTAAGTACGGAGAAAAGTGGAAGTCACTGACAAATATTGGGAATTGAGAATAGAGTTGAAGGAAGCAGGGGGCAGAGGTGTGTGTGTGTGTGTGTGTGTGTGTGTGTGTGTGTGTGTGTAATACGTTATTCCAGCTACTACAGGAGTTACTGATATACACAGAGTCATACAAAATGAAAATATGTGTGAGAGAGAGTCGCAGAGAAACCAATAATCAAAGACAGGTCTTTTGGATAGTTGGGGAATACTTCCCAGGGACACTTACAGCAACCAGGTGTTATTTTTCTAAAACCCTGGTGGTTAATAAACCTCTCACGTACAACTACAGAGCTGGCCAGAGGCTCTCTAGGGTGGAAAGGGAGTTGCATGTATGCAGTAACTGTGTTATATGGAAGTTTTCTCTAACAGGGACAAAAGCAAGAGAAAAAAATTACAGAAGGAATGATAGAAGTGCACCTGGTCACTTCACTGTAGTTAAGGAAAAGGTAGGTCTTCCTGACTTAATTTTGGAATGATTATGAACAGAGAGATCATGAATCCTCAGAGTGGCCCTATCAGCAGTGACTCGTATCAGCACTAAATGACAGACCTGTCACCATTCCACATCCCATAGAAACAGTGAGTTTCAGTGACAGATGGTGCAGCATTAGGAAACCGGAAAAAAGAATCCAGGAGCAAGCTAGGACAGAGACATGATAGTCATTATGGCCAGACGTCACCAATGTCACCTGTTCCCACAGGGTCTAGAGAAGGCCCGTGATTACAGGAGAATGTGGAAGATCAGAGGGGC